GGCCCAACTGGCCTCCCACGTGCGCGAGCACGACGCCGAGGCGTTGCTCGGCCATTTACGAACAACAGCAAGGAAGGCCGCAATCTGTTGCCTACCAATGGTGAGTAGTGGGTCCTTAGACTGAGAACACAACTCAAAGATGACAGAGACGCTGCCATACTTTTGCTTCCCAAGTTGTTGCGCCATCCCTTGCCGCAAAACGTGCATTCTTGCAGGAGGTATGCCCTGGCCTTGGTGGCCCCAAATTGAGGCAGCAGCAATGCTCCCCCTGAAGATGCAGACTTTGATCGCAGAGCCTTTGACCCCCAAGGCCCGGAAGCGTGCAGCACGTTTCGCCCCGGTGGCAAATCGATTTAACTGGACCCCAACACGCCTACGCCTAGCAGCGGCACTATCAACCCCAAGGTCCCGCATCACCGCTTTGATCGTCGGCTCACCGGGCTAAAGCAACTCACTTAAGGCCTTTTGAGCAGCAACCGACGAACACACAAAGCCAGTTTTACTTTTGCTGATGGGCAATGCCTCGGTCCTTAGCAATTGCTCCAAAAGCCTGTAACCAGAAATCGCACGATTGGCAACCACAACTGGATTGGAGTCCTCAAAGTCAGCGCTGATGTCGTCAACCCAGCTATCAAGGCCAACTAAACCCGGTTGTTTAGAGGTAACCTCGAGGACATCCCACAGGCACACTTTCGCAACTGCCGGCGCGTGTGGGCACCCAGCAAGTATGCCCTTGACGGGCCAAATCGGCCTTGAAGCCAAGCCTTCGGCGGTTAAAACCCTGGCACCAGCATAGCACTGAACCGTCAAGAGGGCCACAATGCTGGGAAAACCGCGCTCCAAAGCTTTGGAGAGAAAAGTAGCCCACTGGACATTGTCATAAAAATGCTCAAGATCAACTAGCAAGCTAATGACATGTCTAGATGCACAGCGAGCACTTTCAGCCCTAGCCAAGCGAAGTAAAGCGACGTCAAGACATGTGTTGCCTTTCAAGGCCTTATCCCACCAGCAAAGCGGCCTAACTTGCTGAATCCATGAATCTACAAGCGGTTGGCGGCTAAAGGCCCACAGCCGATAGGGCACACTAATCAATGCAATCGGTCTTTCAGCCTCAGGTTTTTTGGGCAGCAGGGTTATCTGATTAGTGCGCCATTGTTGCGGGGTTTGCAGGCTGGACTCAACGACCTGAAACAAGGAGCGGAGATCCTGCACCGCGGCTTCAGGAAGTGCTTTTAGAAGCTCATATGAAATGCCATCCAAACCCCCAGCCTTGCACGGACACCTACGAATGACGTCCCGGAGTCGCTCGGCACTAATGGTGGGCCGGGTCTGGAGCTCAAGTTGTGCAATCTCAGAATGCCGGCGTATCAAGATAGGCGGAACACCAGGGATTTGAAGGGGGTCGGGGTTACAGGGGCCCAACCCTGAAGAAGCAACCCAAGGCCTACCCTCACCCCAAATGTTAACCCAGTATCTCCTTCGAGCTTCAGGCCGATCCTCCAAAGGGATGTCGGAGAAAGGCCGCGTTAGCACCACAGTGTCTTTTGCAATTGCACGGTATAAAGGACGCATGCCCTTCATGCTCACCCCTCTCAGCCACCTCTCATAAGAGGCCGCCTGGGTTTGAACAGATTCCTTAACAGCTCTGTCATGAAACTGCTGAGCTTCGGAAATAAGGTCTGAGGATGCACTGCAGGGTTCCAGGCGGCTCGGCACAGAGTGAAGCCAACTCAGAGCATCGGGGTCAGCACCATCAGGGACCTGGGCAAGGTGCGAGGTCAGGGTGTGCCACAAACCAGAGTCCGGAGCCCCGGCGGCACGGCACGCGCCCAACAGCACAACCAAGCGCTGCCACCAGCCTTGGACACCATGTTTAGAGAGCTTCTTGTGGCCAGCGATCAAGGGCCTGACCGTGATAGCCAGCATGCAGCCCCGCGTGGGGACCACAGCACCGGCCGCTCCAGTGAAACTGGCAGGTTTGTGTGGGCTCGCCCACGCATCAACACTAGCACCCCACCTAGCCGACATCTTTGTGCTGAGCAATTCGTCGCCAGGCTGGCCCAAAATATGGACATGAATCAGGCCTTCAACGAGGCGCCACAATCGAGCATCATCATCAGCCGGCACCGTGAACTTCGGAAAACCAACAACCTGCGGCACTGGGCGCCCAGCGCCCGGCAAATCAATCATGACATGAACGGCCGCATGCGGTTTGAACGGCACCTGCCACGATACCTCAAGCGTCAAGAGGCCTTCGAGGGAGCGAGCCGCAACAACATAGTCGAGCTCCCCACCTGTGTTGATGGTGGAAACCCCCGCCGTGACAACACGACCACGCATGGCCTCCATAATGGCAAGAGAGCTGAGGTCCCCTGCGTCGAGGTTCCAATCACCTACCACCAACCAAAGGCAACTAGCCTGACGAACCAAACCCAACAGCGAGGCCAAGATCGCTGCATTGGTATGCCCATGCGGGCCTTCATCCACCTTAAGGTAAAGGCTCACAATGAGCAGGTCAACCCCACGGGTTCGAAGGATGGAGGCCTGATATCCGCAGCCATCGCACACAAACGTGGAGAGGAGCCTGACATCGCGATGCCGGGCATAGACCTGAATCAGACCCCCGCGGGAGCCACCTTTCAGTGTTTGAGCCGCCGGCTCGACAAAACTACGGAGGCCGCAGCGGTCGAGCTGCACCGCAGCTCGATGGGATTTCGCAGGCAACATGTGTGTTTCAACGGCCATGAGCATGTGCACAGATTGCTGCATTGCCCAATGTTGCACCGCATTGCTCCAACTAGTAACTAGTCACATTGGCAAAGGTTAAGGAAATGTGCTCAGGGTCTCTGCCATGGAAGGTTCGGTTGGGGAAACCCGAGGGCCCGGGAAGTGCTTGATCCACGCCGGCACCAAGGTCAACCGCACTGCAGGGCACAGGCTCCAAAGGAGAAGCATTCAGCACCGGTGTTTGCACGGCAGCAGAGAGCATCTCACGCGCTTGTCTCAGTCCCTCAGGGTCACCCAAGAGCGCATCCCCAATGGCAACACCTAAACACCACAATCTAGAACCCTCATGGCACACAGCCTCAATCGCTTCCATGTAGCTTACAAGTCGTCTGTGCACAGCATCGGGGATGCTTCGAGCATCTTCGGGCAAATGCTGCATCAAAATGAAAAGGTCTTGCAGAGCCAATCGCAATCGAGCTTTAGCCAAATCATCACGAACTTTGGAATCGAGCTCGAAAAACTTTGTGACACTCGGCTGTATCAAAACTTCCGGAGGCATGCTGCAAAGCAGATCCTGTGTAGAGGTTAAGGCAGGCTGGGGAGAGGTACCCCGGGCATCGGGTTCACGTGGAATTTCCCCAGACAGGACACTGGCACCCCCAACAGCAGCTTTACAGCCCTCGGAAGAAACATCAGCAAAAGCCTCCCGCACATGATCAGCACGGGACTTCTGACCAGCAGAGCCCTCAAGAGATGCACCAGCAAAAGGCTTTCGCGCACTACCAGCACTAGACTCGGACGCCTCGCACTCCGATGTTCCACTAGCAACCTTACCGGCTCTAGCCAAGACATGCAGGAACTCCGTGGCAAACTTAGGCTCCACACCCAAACAATGCGAACTGAAGCGATCAATCATCGGACCTGAGCGGGCATGCGGCTCGGTTGGAGCACCAGCTACACACTCGACTGTCTCCGCAATGGGCTCACGAACAGATTGGAGTTCAACATCAGACCTAAAACCGTAACTCCCAAGATCCTTCTGCAATGCACTAGAGGCGCTGTGCACAAAGGTGTCGGCACAGGGGCCAGAAGCATGCGGAGTCGAAGCCGGGAGTCCAACAGCACACTCGATCACAGATCCCACCTGAGCAGAGGAAGGCCCCGGGCCCCGAGACGGCCCGCGATCGGCACAAAGCTGAGAGGGCGAGTCCTCGGTTGCAGCGAGATTGCATGAAATAGCCGGGCCAGGCTCCTGCAGACTACCAGCTCCCACCGAGTGAGCAGCACAGCCCTCAGAAGAGTCGCCAGCACCAGGCTCCTGCAGACTAGCAGCCCTAGCCAAACCATCAAGAAAGCCATCAGAAGAACCCCCAAAAGAAACCGGATTGCAAGGCTGCGGCACCGCTCCACCAGAGAGCAGGCGGACACCAACATTCATCGGATCTGGGAGGGCAGGGGCAACATTGGCGGGGTTTAGGGCAACACAAGAGGCGGGCTCAGAAGAGGGCTCGAAAGCACCAAGAGCCTCAGCAGCAGACCTCAAACCAGAACTACCAAGACCCACCTGAGCTGCACAAGCAACCCTTGGCACAGAGCTTTCGGCACAAGAACTTTCGGAACCAACCAGAGGATCAGCCTTCAATGCACAAGAAGTCTGCGGTACAGACCCCGGAACCAACTGCACAGAAGAGGCCGGGCCTCCAAAGGCACATGTGGACACAAGGCCCACCTGATCGGATGCAAACTCGGGTTCCCGGGCTGAGCCCCGATCAGCACAAAACTGAGAGCACGGGCCCTTACTCACAGCACGCATGTCTGCAAGAGCCAGGGCAGGCCTAGAAACCACACCTTCAGGGGACGGCTTCCCAGGCCCAGCCTGAGAGGATTGCGAAGCGGAAAACACAGGAGCACAAGGCCCCTCAGGCTGCGGCTCGTCATGAAAATCAGATTTCGCAGGCAAAACAGGATCCACATGCTCAAACGCTTCGGCAGAAAAGAACACGGGACCTGAAATACAAAACGGCGAAGCAGGACTCGGGCCAGGGACTGTGCGACGTGGCTGCTGCCACTCCTCCCCGAACGCATTCACTGCACAAGGCTCACCCCACAACGCTGCAAAATTGCAAGTATCAAGGCCACCTGCACTGGATGACACAGCATTAAAAACCTGCAGTCTTTGAGCAAGGGTGCTATCAAAAATCCCCGCTAAGGCCTCCAAGGCCCTAGTGAAAGAATGCACAACTTGACCAGCGCAGGCAGCCTGATCAACGGGGTTACCCCTCTTTCATCGGCTCATTCGCCACCTCACCATCCTTGCGCCTTGGGCTGCGGCTTCTGCCCACACGATCCTTCGGAACATCCGGGGCCCCTGGCACAGTCACGGCAAGGTGCTCTTGCACTTTCACCTTAACCTCGGGATCCAATTGAACACCAGCCTTATCCAGAGCACCCAGAAATGCTTGGAAGACAGCGTCCTCAACAGGCGGAGGTTGGGGGACCGCCTCGGCCTCTGACAGCTTGTCAGACAACTGCTTCTGCAGCTGCTCCACCTCCTTTTGCTTGCTGGTCAAGCTCACTGTCAACTCCTGCATTTCCTTAAGCAAGTCCTGATAGCTTTGCTTGGCACGATCAATCCTGGCCTGCAGCACCACACTTTGATGCACCAGATCCCGCAGGGATGCAGTCTCACCCTTGAACTTGCGGTTCAAGTCAGCAATGGTTACAGCTGTGCTCGCCTCTTCAAGCGGCGCAGCCACCAGCTTACGAACCGACTCGGGCAAACTGTCTAGATGCTTGAGGCACGCCTGCTGCAGATCAAGCTCAGGCTCAGGCACCTCAACACTCACACCAGAAGCCTTCAGACTGGCCTGCACAGGCCCATCTAGTTCGTGCCAATGTTTCTTGATAGCTTCAAGCACTGGCGCTGGAACACCTTCACCGAGGCCCGGCGGGGGAGCCACCTTCGCCTTGCGCCTCGGGCGCTTCCAAGACGCAGCGTCCCACACAGTCGGCCAGAGATCACTCTGGCCTGCAGCCTTCAGCGACTGCTGCCACGGCGTGCTGCACAGGCTACAGTGCCTAACTTTGCTTGCTCTGTCTGACCAAAGCCAGGAGCGGCAGCTCGGGTTGCAGCATGTCACGTACTGTCGGGTCATTTAGATAACGATTCGGTGCGTATGCAAGAGAATGCTGAGCCAGGGGTAATGCACAGCAAAGGCAAAATGTCTCGCCCGAGCTTTCCAAGCTGCGGCTCAGCGAGCGCGGATGCACAACCTACCGGCCGCCCGCCCCAACCCTTGCCAGCAATCTGGCCTACGAAACGTACACGGTTGGTTTGGGGACTGGTCGGGACCTCTAGAAAGTAGGACTCAAGGCTGTGCCACGAAGCTACCTACACTCCTAGATCCTACTTCTCCTAAGGGGTGAGACGAGGCAACCGACGAAACTGCACTGCCTACGCTTCCCTTCTCTTCACTTTGCAAAACAAGCATAGAAGGATCTGGCTCTACATAGGTGCAAGCTTTCAACCACGACGTGTTGGCGTACAATTCTGTCTCAAAGCGCAGACCACCCGGAGGATAGGCTACGTGTAACTGAGGATCATAGTCATAATGAAAGATCCTAAAGCCTAAGGACTGCAAGATGCCTGAGCTAAGGATGCTTATCGAATTGGGAGCAATATACGCTTCCAGCTGCACTCGAATCTCTCTGTAAGTTTGGGTTCCAGAGGGCCCCGCTTCGAAACATGGGAACCAAAGCTCTAGCAACCCATACCTAGTTATCTCCATAGTCTGGTCGTTAGCGACACTTACAAAGAGAGGCTCAACCTCAAGCTCTCGGATCAGCTTCGCAGTCACTCCAAGCATGTCTTGCGAAACAAGGTGAACACTCCCACCGCTATCAATCAAGAGATACTAGGGGTCGTCCCTAGTGACTGCAGGAAGTGCCAAAGTTGGAAAAGCAAGGCACTCTGAAGACCGATCCCGAAGCTGAGGCTGCGGCGCGGAAGCAAGGCTCAAAGCAATCACTGCTACAGCTACGCAAGCATACGTGAAACATGACTGCCGTGGGCTACTCAAGCATGCAACCAACCGACAAATCAAGCATCCTACCATGCAAAACATGAAAAACGTGAAAATCAAGGCAGTCATGGTGAAAAACTGTCCCCTCTCAGGCATTGCTTCAGAAATCTGCCCTGCCGCGGGCAACAGTGACGACATAAGGAGGGCCCTTCCCGGCACCCTTTGGAGCAGTGGGAGCTGGCGCCGCAGTCGAGGAAGGTGCAGGAGGGGCCACCTTGGGAGCGGCACTCTCTGTTGCCGCCGCTGCTGTCGCAGCAGCCTTCTCATCGGCAATCCTCTTCCTGCACTCGTTGGCCCAATGGCCCGGCTTGTGGCAGTAATTGCAGGTGCCCGGCTTCTTCTTCCCAGGAGCCGGCGTCGAAGATCGGGCCCTTCCGCCCTTCTTGCCACCCTTGCCTTTGTCCTTTCCCTTTCCTCCTTTGTCCTTGCCTTTCCCTTTATCACCATGCTTGCCTTGGTCCTTCCCGTGACCTTTTCCTTTGGGCTCGCCACCCTTGGGCTCACCCTTCTCAGAACGATCAGCACCAAAAGCTGCAAAGCCCTTGGCGTTCGAGGCTTCCTTGTGAAAGTTCAAAACAAGAAGCTGCTCATCATAGAAAACCAAACCGCGCTCAAGCTGCTCCAAGGTTGTCAAAGACCCATGCAACAAAAGGTACTTCTTGCAATCATCATGAAGGTGCTTCAAGATGCAGCTGATAACATCAGCCTGCTGCAGTTCAAAGTCTGGGTACTTGTTGGCAACGAGCGTGCGGTAGCGAGCAAAATCAGAAATCATATGGCGAAAAATATCCAATGGCCGTCTCAAGTGCTTTGGTGGCGCGATCAAGAGAGCCTGCTCTCTGAGCGCCTGTCCCTCCACACGAGACCTAATAACAGACAGTTCTTTGTTCAACTCACGCCAGAGGTCGTACCCTGCAGCGGCACCGCCTTGACTCAACTCGACAAGCTTGGCTATGTCAACTCCTCGACAAGCTTGGCTATGTCAACTCCTCGCTGAAAACCAGCGAGAGCCTGCTTCAAGAGGTACCACAGCTTAGTGGAACGAGCGGCCTTCCCCTTTGAGAGGCTGATCTGCTGAACTTGAACACCGCTCTCCACAGCCTCTTGCAGTTCCTCCGCGTAGCGGTCGTCTAAAAGACACAGCCAGGAGGTCAGTTCTTCGCGGTAAGCTGTCCACGTGGAGATTTCCTCATGGCGCGATCTCATCTTGTCTGCTGCCAACTTTGGCAGGGACGGAATGTAGTTTTCCGCCCTGTTGCTGCGCAAGCCTGTGTCCACCTCCATCTTCACAACACCATCAGAGTCAACTCTGATGGCACCCAGGCTTCCAAGAGCTTCAGCGGGCGCCCCTTGGGACGAACTTGCAGCAACAGGAGCTGCACTTGCGGCCGAACTTGCAGCGTTTGCACTCGCAACGGCGAGCGTCTTCACCATCTCGGTGAGCTGCGAAATCTGGCCCTGCTGAGCTCGGATCTGTTCATCTTGGGCTTGCAACATCTGCCTGAAAAGGTTGACAGTGTTGTCTTCTGGACTAGGCACAGATGCCTGCTGAGGATTCCCTCCTCCGTGAGGGAAAGTCGGTTGCGTTCCAAACTGAGGCTGCTGCTGCTGCTGAAAACCCTGCTGCAACGGAACCTGTTGAGGTACCTGTGGAAAAGGCCCCTGAGGCACTTGACCTGCACTCACAAGAGGTCTGGGTCTACTCACAGGCCGGTGTGCTGTCGGACTGTTCCGAGCAGGGAGGGACCTTCCACGAGTCCGCGAGCCAGGTGCACTTCGAGGGGTTGAAGGAAAGCCAGAAGAAACTCCACTGGCACGACTAGCACTCCGCCCCGAACTCCGTCCTCTTGGGGAACGGTCGCGGCTAGGCTCGGCTCGTGGGTCAATGGCTCTGAGGAGCAACCTTGAGCTCCGCTACCACGTTAAAACCCAAACGCGCCTTGAGGCACACTTCTAGGTTTAGTAAAAGGAGGTGCAAGCCGACTGACTGACTACGTCACGCAAGGCTACAGCAGTGAAAGCTAACAGCACTTTTACACCTTTCGTTGCAACCAACTGTTCACCACGCGCTTGTCACGCAGTGCAAGGCTTGAGCCAAAGTGAAACGGGGCGCAGACAGAGACTTCAGCACACTCACTTCCGCGGTAAGTCCTAAGGACTCCTAACGGCTTCTCTGCACTGGCAACTCTGTTCTGTGGCCCAGGTGCTCCCCGGACTTCGTCTTGAAGTTCGTTCTCACAGCAAACAAACTGAAAACACTCTGATGTTCATCATGCTTCAGGGAAACACCGTTCTTCGTGAAAACTCGTGAGGAAAACTCCGGTTGGACACGCTTCTGGTAATGATCACTTTCACCGCAAGGTGAGACAGGAAGCGTGAGCGCAGCGACCGACAGACAGACAACTTTTCCCTACTCCTACCGTTCACAACTTACACCTAAGGTTCTCTAAAACTCACAAAGGAGAAAACAGAAGTGTTCCTGACCTTGGCGAGCATTATAGGATTGAAAATCAACTGGAAGACTGTCAATGACTGACTGCTGCTGCACTCGATAAAAACCATAACTCCTTCATGAAGTCTCGTTATAGATCCTCCCCGAAGTCCTGCCTGATCTTTCCCTAAACCCTCGCATGGCCAAGGCCCCCGTAAACTTGTAGATAGACTACCCTACAAGTTTTTGCACATGCCACCCCTCATGTTTTTCGTGTATGCTCCTCCAAACACTTGCTTGCAGACCCTCCCCCAAATCCTGCCTGCAAGATCCTGCCCTGAACTCTGCAGATCCTTCCCTAAACCCCCTTTTGCATTCCAAACCCTGCCCCGCAGATCACTCCCCGATGCCTCCTGCAGCACAAATTCCTCGACTACTGTGGGGTACTCTGATGTGTCCTACATTTTTTGCTGTTTTCCGGGCCCCGAAAATGGGCTCGTAAAGCTCGTCGAAAGTGTGGCAGGGTACGGAAGCTTCCGGCTGGTTCGGCTTGGCTGCGGTGGAGTGGGGGGTCGGAGCTTGTGCCCATTGCCGTGGCGGTGCTCAAAGGCTCGTTAGCCGTCAAGAGCTCGTCAATGTCACTGGCCGAGCGCCCCTTTCAAGAACCACTGCGCGAACGGACCGATCGTCTCGAGCCCTCAGAGGCCGCCTCTGGCCCGGCTGCGTCGCTGGCCTCCTCGGCCGCCCACATGGAGATTTGCAGTTGCCATTGCACTGGCAGAAGGGACACATCTGTAACGCTTCGGCTGCAGATTGCATCTCTGTACAATTTCGAGGGACTGGTCTCTTGATGACAACATAGGTTTTTGGGGGGGGTGTTCGAACCCAAGGTTTGGAACTTAGAGTTCCGAACCCAGGGTTCTGGAACTCCGAACTAAGAGTTCGGAGCCTCGAACCCAGGGTTCGAACATCGAAGTTCCCTCCGAACCCTGGGTTCGAACTTTGAGTTGAACTCCAAGTTGAACTCAACTCCGAACTTGAACTGGAGTTGAACCTGGAGTTGAACTCTGAAAGGCGAAGAGTTTGAACCCAGGGTTTGAACATAGAGTTTCCGAACCCAGAGTTCGAACTCTGGCGGTCCTCAAGAGTTGAGTCCCCAGGTTTCGAACATTGAGTTTCCGAACCCAGAGTTCGAACATGGAGTTTCCGAACCCAGAGTTCGAACTCTTGTCTCATTGCTTCTTGTTCTCTCATTTTATTTTTTTTTGCAAAAACCCGATTAGCGATTTCGTGTGTCTTCTTCTCTTTTGCTTGTGCTTAAGGGTTGAGTTTGTGGTTTCTCATTGTAGTGTGCTCTCAGTAATTTTATTCGCAAACCCCCCCACAAAGCGATTCTATGTGGCTTCTTTTCCTTTTGTTTGGTGATTGTTGGTGTTCTGTTCGAACCCCGTTCGAACTCTGGGGGGGAGTCTAGAACCTGGGGTTGGGCGGTTCATTTGTTCGCGCCTTTAGCATTCTCGTAGGAGACTTCATGTCCTTCTGAAGCCCCCTTGAGAAGAAAGACTCCTCGTCATTGACAATCTTTTTCTTTGTTTTGTCTTTCTTTTATTTCTTTGCCAAAACCCCCGATAAAGTGGTTTCG